CGTAAGAAATACAATTGACTAAATGAATAAACCTCCTGTGCCTGAGTTTACCCTTCTAGAAAATGGAGGGAACAATGTTCATTTTAAGAAATAGATACGTGAGAGGGCTGGAGATGTGGCTCAGTAGTAGAGCACTTGCCCAGCATGCATGAGACCCTGGGTTCACATGTGTGAGTGGGTGTATGTGTGTGTGTGTTAAATGAAATGTGTCTGACATAAAGCATCTGGCACAGAGTAGAAATCAATAAACAGCATCTGTACTGTCCATTCAACATACACTCATGTTTCCAATCAACCTTTAAATTCTAGAGATAATTTGCGTTTAGCAGGTTGCCTACACCCATTTCTGTATCTCTATCCTTAAAGATCTCTAGAGAGGAAGCCACACCTCTCCCTCGGGCAAATATCTGTTTCTTAGCCCTTTATTAGTCAATCGGTTGACAGTTATGTCTTAGCCAGCCTGTACTACATAGTCAGATACACTATTTACACCCTTCTTCCAAAATAGCAAAATGGTGCACAAAACCACCAGAGCCATTGCCAAGCGTCATTCCTCCTCTTCCTCTTTCCCCTGCAAGTTCCTCTTCCTCCTCCCCCTCCAAGTTTCTCCTCCTCCTTTTCTTCCTCCTCCTCCTCCTTTTCCTTCTCCTCCTTCCCTCTCACTTTCTCGTGCCCTCACTCCCTACCCATCCCATCTCTAGCACACCAAAAAGTTTTCCAGGGACCAAGAGTCAGCTAGTCGTTTATTCACCATTCACTGAAAGCTAGAAGCTACAGGCTGCCAGCTAGAGGCTGAGGCACGGAGACAAAGACAGATGAGACAGAAACCACGCACTTTGGGAGCTCCGGGTCTTTTGGTTGGAGCGGGCATGTAAACAAACTTCGCAAAAATAGTTGCGAGGATCGAGAAAAATTCAGGATAGTATCACAGCTTTCCAGAAGAGGGAGCTAGAGAACAACGTAGTCAGACCTTAACATGGCCCTTGCCAACAAGGCTTTTCTGAACCAGACTTATTTGGGGGTTATTCTCATTCTGTGCCCTGAGAAGACGAAAGACACTCCATCAGCACCTTCCTCATAATCACTGTCTCAATCCGTCATAAAGACCAGCTCTAATGAGCACAGAAGTCATCAAGGACACGGTCCTCTTCTGCATGGCTCGCAGGCACAGTCTGTAGGCAGGGCTTGGAATCTGCTAGGTTTTGCTAACAGCGTTATGGAGGCCCCAATTCCACCTGATAGGCGTCTGGGTGAGTGCATCACCCCGTTTGTTTCCTCTGAGGGTTACTTTAAGAGCTGAATCAGTCTTCAGCTCTCTCGATGCTCTATTTTGCATACTGAAAAACAAGGCCTAGCTGAGATTCACAGTCATTATTAAATTCAAAAAGAAGAAGAAGCATGAATTATAAGTGCAATAAACTACCACATTCCTGTCTTGCAAGTGAGGAGGAACATGTTTCTTTCTGTTGTCAACAGGCTCGTAGAGGGCAGCACACGGAGGAATCCATTGCCAGGGACAGCTCGAGAACAGGTGGCTCAACAGTCCTCTCACAGCTGTGCGCCTGGAGCCTGAAAAAAGGCATCTCCGACCACTCTGCCTCCCACGAGGCGGCTCCGGACGCCAGTGTCCCCGCGACAGGAGTCTCCCAAGGCACAGGGCACTCACAGCGAACGACATTTCTGAAAACTATTAGATGCCACTCGGAACGTTATCCAGATACTGAGGGCTGGGAGACAGTCTCGGTGAAATGTAGGCAGTGAAGTAAGTTAGCAGTGCAGAGGGCCCGCAGCTCCAATGGGTGGTGGCCCAAGGTCACAGTCTCTGCAGGAGCGCATTGGCTTTCAGGGACTACCACAGCCAAGTACCATGAATGGGTGGCTTCACAACAGAACTTTCTCCAGTTCCGGAGGCGGGAAGTCCAAGGTCAAGGTGTTGTCAGGTCAGTGTTGTTCTCTCCTCGGCTTGCAGAAGACCCCTTCTCTCTGTGTCTTCACAGTACTGTTCTTCTGCGCTTATCTTTGGTCCAGTCTCTTCTTATCAGGACACCAGAGTTCTAAGTACTGGTTTGGGGCTCACCCTGATCACCTCTCTAAAGGCCCTGTCTCCGTGGATGGTCACATTCTGAGGTGCTGCGAGATAGGATTCCCACACGTGCATTTTTGGAGGATACAGTTTAGCCCATGAGGAGGAGCAAAAAAGGGAAACGTGCAATGAAGAAATGGAGCACGCTGCTAATGACCCGCCAGTGTAGACTCTAAAATGGGTTTGATATGAAAGGCTAGAAGATGGGGTGAAGGATTTCAGTTCCTGCCGCTGCTGATGACTTTCACATCATTCAGCTGTGCATCCTCCCCCCCCCCCCCCCGCCTCTCTCTCTCTCTCTCTCTCTCTCTCTCTCTCTCTCTCTCTCTCTCTCTCTCTCTCTGACTCTCTCCAGCTCCATGTTCACAACAGTCTGCTGGACCTGCGCCATCCTGATGATCTGCCAGCACCTTACACAAACAGAAAATGCCAACTGCACTTGTTTCTGATTTCTATTATTGCCATCACCAACTTTCCAGGAATTTTTAATCCCTTCCCTCTCTTCCCAAATCGAAAATATCTCCATGGCCTTTTTGTCTTGATTTCTTGTATCTCTCACATCCATTCCCTTTTCTTAAGAGAGCTGCTAAAATACCAATCCATCCACTGAGATGTGGACCACTCAAAGTACTCCCCAGTGGGTCTCCTGGCCCCAGCTTCTCCTTCCACCAATTCACCTACACATGCTACTCTTTTGGATTCATCTTCCTAAACACTGCTTGCAGCCTGAGTCAACCTCTGCTCTGAAATCTTCCATGGCTCCCCATTGCCATGGAAGAAAAATTTAACTATATATCCTAGCATGCTATGCCTTTCACAGTCTGGCTTGAATCTTCAAGTCTGACAGTCCACTCCCCCAAGCACGCTGACAAAAAGTGAGAATAAATGGATTAACGAACACCTCTACACAAACCTTCTGTTCCACGAAATGATAAGTAAGTTGTCCTGTGGTGTAGTCACTGCCACCTTGCCACATGCTCTGTAAATGTTCCTATGTCCAACATCCCCTGCTCTACCCCTAAATCCAGCCTATCTCTAAGTCCCAGCATTAGCACTGCCCTCTCCACTCCTGACCCTTCCTGATCATTACAAATATCCTACTTCTCTCCATAGGAGTTATCATTAACACTTAAGTGTGATATTTATTCTGTCTTTTTCACTATCCCTGTGTGTTCTTACACAACACTATGTGCGTGCCTTACTCTCCAAATTCCACAAGGGCAGACAGACACTACACAATCTCCATGATAGATACACAATGACAACAATAATAACCAAACACATTTATTGAGCCTCTACCACATGACAAGCACTGTGCTGTTTTCCAACATTATCTTATTTAATTAAAAGAACAATCCATTAAGAGAGGTTATTATTATTATATTACAAGAGGTTGTTATTATTTTCATTTTACAGATGAGGAGACTGAGGATTAAAAAGATCAAAGAACTTCCCTGAATTAACTTAACTAGTAAGTGACAACAGAGCTAACTCTCAAATACAGGTGTGTGGGATCCAGGAGTTCCTGCTACTCGTACCTTGCACAGCACATACTGAGCATATGGTTAGGAATGAAGGCCCTGCCTCCTACCACAGCAGTGGCGGTGAATGGCACACAATATAAGGACCTCCAAAGATGTCCATGATCACAGGAGCCTGGGAGGTGTTATATCACATTCCAAAGGAAAATTCACGATGCAAATGGAATTACATTGGCCAATCAGTGGACTTTAAAATAGGGAGATCATCCTGGCTGCCTGGGGGGAGGAGCAACACAATCACAAGAGTCCTTAGTGGAAGAGGGAAGCCAACAAATCCAGGGTGATACAATGTAAGAAGAATGTGACCTGTGATCGGTGGCTCTGAAAGTAGAAAAAGGGGTCACCACCGGCAGCCTCGGACACTGGAAAAGGTATGGAAACCGATGTGTCCCTCAAGCCTCCAGAAAAGAGCACAAATCCTGCTCCCTCACATGCTGATTTTCAACCAGTGAGACATGCTTGAGTCAGATTCCTAACCCACAGAAGCGTAAGATGATAAATTCAGTTATTTTTAAGCCACCAAATTTGTGGTGATCCATTACAGCAGCAATTGGAAACTAATTCTGGGTACACAGGTGTCCAGCTAACCCAAATTATCCCGATGAATGGGCACTGCCCTGGTGAAAAATAAGTAGACTGTGCTCTTTGGGACTCAAATATCTGCCTCCCACCTGCACGACAGTTCTTCCTGGGAAGAGATTACACCACTCCCAGCAGCACCTGTTTCCTGGGCTCCTGCCCACCCTGTCTCTGAACTACTCCGAAAATGGCTTTAGCAAGAAGGACATGAAATTCAGTGAAAGTCACACATTCGTGACAACATTCTCTTAGGAAGATTATTATTACAATCCAGATGTGTGACAGGCTTTAAAATGTCATTCCTAGTGCTTGTACTCCAGCCACTTCCCATATATTATCTTAGGTGCCTGAGCCAGCCCTGAAGTGTGCATAAAATGGCAGTTTCCAGGGCACACCATGGTGTTTTGGATTACAGTTTTTGAGTCAATTCCAGGAATTTTACTTTTTTTTTTATTGTAAAGAGAGAAATTTTTATTGTAAAGAGAAAAATACTGTAAAGAGAGAAATATTGTAATGAGAAACAAACAAAAGAATAGAACAGTAGCAGCATACCAGTATCACAAACATAAACAAATCAAAGCAAGAACATTCAAAGTGACACAGGGTCTCAAGACAAATTAATACAAATCAACAGTGGTTGTTACATTGCATATCGCTATCCTCGACGACATTGCTCAGATTATCAGATGTAAGAATGAAAGATTGCTCAAACCATTAAAGAGAATAAGAAAATAATTCTTCAATAAAACATTAGAGATCAATACAGAGTTTCACTAGACAAGATGGTAGGAGTTCACCATTGAAGAATTTTACTCTTAAGAGGCCCAAATAGTACTGTAGAAAAATGTATTTTTTTAAATGGTAGGAGCACTAGTTCACTCTTCTTGTAATAAGCAAGTGACACAGACCAGGTACCAGCGACAGAAGACTCCGATGTACAGTCCCATTCCCCTTCTTGCTAAGAACTGTGACCCTGTGGCTTTGCCCAAGTGATCACCTGGAGTCTTTATGTCGTGGCTGCGACACACCTTGTAAGGTGCTGGCGTTCCTGCCTCCCGTTCCCCGTCCAGCGCCTTTGATGGATTTCTTGTCATCACCAGGACCCTCACAGCCTGCCGCTTCCCTCTCAAATTAACAGGGGCACTGCATTTGCCCCGGGTCGGTTTGACGTCTGTGTCCCACAGTCATGGAAACACTAACAGCTACCACCCTGCTATTTTCCAAGTGCTTTACACACACGTTATCACTCACCACGCAGTGCAGGGCTGGCCGCGCCACGGACTTTGGAGCTGGGCCATCGCGTTCGCAATCCTGACTCTGCCACCACCAGCTATGCGACCTTGTGCACATTCGTGAACATCTCTGGGCTCGGCTTTCTCTGAAACAGCAATTTTTAAAGTACTTCTTGGTAAGGTTGTCGTCGGGATGGTGTGTGCAAGAGTCCTGGCAGTGTCGCACAGGGGAAGTAATGGGCTCTTGTGAAGTAAATCTGAGACACCGGAGCTCAGAAATGAAGAACGACCTGCCCAAGGTCACGCGCTGGATCAGGGACACAGTCTGGGTTTGAAGCCAGGTCACTGTGTCTGTAAGTTCTTCTACTTTCCCCTGGCTGCACCATCTGGCGTTTGTCCCGGATCTCTTGTGAACCACGGCGCCCATCCTCGCCCTCCCACCCAAAGATAAGACGGGCTGTCCCCGCCCCTTCCCACTCGGAAGCTCCTAGCAACCCTGAACACCTGGGAAAAGTGAAAAGCGCGCGCTGCCTCGGCGCCAGGGGAGCGCCCTCGGGAGAAGAAGCCAACAGGTCCGCGCTTCGCTCCGGGCGCAGAGTCTCCCCGCAGCTGCGTGAAGAAGCGCGAGGCTCGCGTCGCCGCCAGGTGCGAGTGGCGCAGTGCACGCACCGGACGCCCGTCTCGCCGCCGCCTGCCGCCCGGAGCTGCCTGGTGGAATCCCTCCCCAGCTGGGGAGGAAGGCAGTTGTTTTCCTCCTGGTGGAACGTTCCACTTGAAACGGTTCCACAAGGGCTGTTCTCGCCTCCGACTCCGGGAAGAACTGTAATTAACACAGCAACAAACGCCCACGCCGCTAACTGGCAAAGAGAGTGTAACACGAGCCGCTGCTCCAACCGAATTGGGCCAATTGCTTTCCCTTCTTGCCTCCCATTTGGTCTGTTTGGGTTCCGCAGTCATCCAACTGTAGCGTCTCTTAAAACGTGTCAGTGGCTGCTGTTTGTGTTTTGGGTTGAACAGTTTCACACCCGGCGCTGGAGACGGTGCTCGCCCAGCTGCTGCGCTCATCCCTGCTTCCCGCGGCTCGGGAGAGGCAGGTGGAAGCCTAGGAGAGGACGGCACCTGCCGCCCCCGCGGGACCCGGGCCGGGGCCAGGGCCCGAGGCTCCCGGAGCAGGGCAGGTCCGACCGGTCCGCCGGGTCTGCGGGAGCCCCGCGCTGCGCTGGAGCTCAGAGGCGCTGGGCGCTGGGCCAAGGACCCGGGGACCGGCGAGGAGGCAGGGCGACCCCAGGCGGCACGGCTTGGGCTGGGCTGCACGGGCATCGGCTGGGGGCAGCACGCGGACTCCCAGGAATCAGATCTCTGACGCCGCCCTCAGGGTATAACCATGCACCCCCAAACGTGGCCCACGGCCCTGGCTCGGACGCCGAGTGGCTTGTCTCCCGCCCTGCCCCGCCCTCCTGGTTCAGAACCTGCCTTCACAAGGGTGACTGTAGACACGCTGAAGTTTGGGGAGCTGCCTGCTGTGTGCCGTATTATATCTTCCTCTAAGTTGTCGCCATCAGCGTTTCCTGGTGTAAAGACTCCTTTCAAAAACCGTGGGACAGGCAGATGCTTTCGAGAAATAGAACCCTGCCCTCAGCTGAGGGCGAGCGTCCTGTGATGCACCGCGGGGCTCTTGGTTAATTCCTGCTGAGGTAAGCGGGGGTTGGGGGAGACAGATTCATAGAAATGACCCACCTCAGAAAAGTTCAGAGACTGGATAGAGAACCAAAATCTAAGCAGGAAGAGTGAAATAACTCTGAGATAACATAAGGGGTTACTCAAGGCTGATCATTATCAGAGCAGCAGTTTTATGTGCTGCACATTTAGTAAATTTATTCTGCTAAAGAGCCACCGCCAACTTGTGTATACATAGATTCATGAATGTACTTTTACATGTATATAGAGAGACAGACAGGGAAATATATATATTCTAGTATAGTGTCCCACACCTGGTAGGTGATCAATATTTACTGAACCAATAGCTGAATCCTGTTGCAACAGATTCCCTTGGAAAGAGAAGAATTTTGTGTCTTATGCAAAAGCAGCATGAACCTATCCCCAAATTAAAATGTACTACCTGCAACCAACAGCCCGTGTCTGTCTTTAAAACATGAATTATGTGCACAGATCTCACAGGCACAGAGCCTGCCCTTGAACATGGTGGAGACTAGAGGCGCAGGAGTCCAGCACAGCTGCTTGAGGAATCCTAAGTCCTCCCGGGCAGAATAACCCAGGATGTTGCCCCTGTGTGCGCTGTCCCTCCAGCCTCCCTGGCCACACTTCCTGTACAGATCACGGACTGCAACTTCTTCTGAGTCCTTATGCTTTTATGAGCTACTGATCTGCAGTACAAACATTTTCAAATCAAAGCTTCACTGGATGCCCTGTAATAGCTCCAGTTTATTCTAAGTACTTGAAGTTCTTTAACTAGGCAGCCAGTCATGTGAATAGACTGAGAACCCATGCAAAGCAGGGGTGGAGTGTCCCTCCTACTTGGTGTTTAGGAGGATCATGATAATTCTTCAAATTCATTCATCAATCTAAGGGGCTAATGCCGACACATGACAGAGGTTCTTCTTTTTGTGACTTTATTATATTCCAAGTGCCTCAGACAGCCTAAAAAATACGAGGTACTCCATAAATATTTGAGGTTGAAGTGAGTTGGTACTTGAGTCTATAGCCAGGTGGAGATTATTACTATCACACCTTGACATTGATACCTGCATGTGTCCATTTTCATTACCTCATGCTTTGACTTTGCCTGAAACAACTAAAATCAGCCCTAAGACAATGGAATTGGACCTAATAATGATCAGAAGGAGAAGGAAATGGGGTTAGGAAGGAAATGTATCCAACAACATATATCAAGAGGTATAACAAGAAGAGAGGCTTAAATGTGAACAGCAGGAAGGCAGTAAAGATGCCTTGAGAAATCAGACACTGAGGCACACACCTGTAATCCCAACACTCTGAGAGGCAGAGGCAGGGCATCTTGGGCAATTTGTGATTTAAAGAGACCCTTCTCAAAAAAGAGCTGGAATTGTAACTCAATGCAAAGGCCCTGGGTTCAGCCCCCAGTACCGTTTAAAAAGTAGGGTGGAGGCTGAGAAACCAACCTACAATACCAACTGATATTTCTAAAATGAAAGTTTCTAAAAGGCAAGAAGCTCCAGTTTATTTCTGCTTCCCCATCCACTATACCAGCAGCAGCAAAGTATTCACTATATGCCAGGCACTGTCCTCGTCCTTGTACTAAACCTGAGAGAGATCCTGTTATTACCTCCTCACAGAGCACAGACACTGAGGCATGCAGAAGTTTGGTTATTTCCCCCAAGATCGCACAGCTAATAGGCACAGACCCAGGATTCAAACAGACTTTAATTCCAGTGCTTATAATCCATGGGCTGGTGGTGAAAACTCCATGTGAATTAGAAAGAGAAAATGACCTAACAGGGAGCCTACTATACGTGCTATCTTTTGTCCTTCTTTGAATGTGGTGTCCGTTCAATGCTATGGCTCCTCAGCTCACCCCAGGGCTCATCAGCAGCTTCCTCAGTTACTTCTATCTTGTTGATGGGCACCTATGTTAAGACCCTCTGCTTGAGCATCCTCACAGGAGAGGCTGTAAGCCAATGAAGGATGAGAACCAGTGGATAAACAGTCCTCTGTCTCCTCCCCTGGAGATAATGTAATAGAATGATCCTGAGATGGATGCCACAGTCTCTCAGGGGATTCCCAGAAGGTCTGGATCCCCAGTATCTGATATTCTGGGGATATATATCCGCTCCCTGATATACCCTGTTCTCTCGTTACTTTTCTTGTTGCTGAAACAAAATACCCAACACTCAAAGTTAAAGGGGAAAAGTTTATTTAGCTCGCAGTTTGTAGAGGTTTCAATCCATAGTCAGCTGACTCCAAGGCAGGGTGGCATGGCAGAGGGCCAACAGCTTGTCAGTGGAAGACAGCAAAGCAACGAGAGAGAGTAAGCCAGACAAGCCTCTTTCTTTCCCTTTTATTGTGCCCAGTCTACCGGGATTAGGACAGTGCCAATCCAGTCAGTGGACTGATCCAGCAATCAATCGCGCACCCTTAATTCCAGCATTGCACTATGAATCAATCACACACTCTACATTCAGCCACCTCCAGAAAAACCCTATAACCGCATGAGTCTTTGGGAGGACTTCTAGACACAAACTATAACACACCCTATACTGGCTTTGCTCTCCTCCTGGCCTCATTACCCACTATTTCCCAACATCTCCTTTCAAGTAAACTTCTTGTCTCAGGGTCTACTTTGGGGAACGATATCAAAATACTTGTTACATGATATTGAATGGAACTTTCCTATTTAGTGGATTTAACAACTAGGATCTCAAAGTAAAGATGTTAAATACTTCACAACTAGAGGCAAAACGTCTGTTTGGTGTTTACCAAGAGGTGCTATCTCATTTCTTTCCTTTCTCCCAATCCATATTAGCAGACAATAGAAAAGGCTCGAATCTTCCAATAAGCTGTTCAGTAGCTTTTCCTTTCCCTCCTCATGAGAGCTTCCTAATCAAAATAACTGAAATTGTGCCAGAAGTAGACATTCCACGTCATGGAATAGGCAGAGACCTCTGTGGAATCCACTAAAAAACACATATGCACCCTCCCAAAGCAAATCTGCTCTAGCACTTAACCACACAGACCTTCAAACTCCAGCAGAGAATCACAGCCACATGGCCAGCTTTATCCAGTCATGCCTGTCCCTTTGGCCCCATAACCAGCATGAAGAGAGCTAGAAGTAAATAGAGGTGCAAGAGTGGACAGAGATGAGAGAGTATAATGTGCCACTCTCTCTTCATGTCCCTGTGGATCGGAGAGGTGTGTTAAATTGGATGAGAAATTGAAGATTTGAACAGGACTAGACTGTTTTCATATTCATTTGCTCTTAATTAGAGTGACAAAAACCTATGGGTTCTCCTTGAGATGCAGGTGAAAAGAGGAGGAAGAAAGATTCAATTGAGCACAGTTAGCACAGCAATTGGAAAAAACAATCTGTAATATTTATATCCCAACCGAATTAAGATTTTCACCTTTACAAGTCATACATGTTTCACAGCAGAGTCTATCTGGGTTTTCTATGTAACACATACCCTTGAATAAAATGAATTATCATATGCTAATGAAAAATCACCAGGAAGCAGCTTTCTATGCCCCCTACCATTGGATTAAAACAAAATGAAAGTTTTTTTCTCAAATCTTGTAGGAAAATTCAGCAGCAAACATCCAAATTGGAAGAGAGGAATTCATTTCTGATGTCAGTCCACAGGACTACTTTGTCCAGTACATTTATTTTAAAATATTAGACATCCTGACACTGAAAAAATTCAAAATCTGTTTCTAATGAAAACTCGGCATACTGAGATTTGACGAAATTCTCCAGGGACTATTGTTAGTAAACTTTACAAATAGCATTATTGATTTGCAAAAGTAACCAACATATTGTCATAGTTTTGGTAGAGCCAGACACTGTAGCCCGAGAAAAAAAAAGACTTTCATCATCAGCTATGTTGAGAACCATAAAATCAATAATTAGATTTAGAGAAAAAGCCAGTGGGAGTTAAAACCACAGTGATGCAATCAGCTATTCTGGAGCTCGTTGAAAATGCGGCATAGTTTAGACACCGATTGCTATCTTCTGGTAATATAAACTAAAGGGAAAAAAAGCAAACAAATAAAAATGACTATAGATAATAATAAAAATATCCATTTTTCTTTTGTATTTTTTTTCTGATAATTATTTTCCAAATACACAGTAAAGAGGATTTTAAGTGCTGTATTGAATAGAAATATAAAACATGCATAGGTCATTCTGAAGACATGCAGCAAAGAACATTAAGATTAATAATGAATTTCTTTTATTCTAAGCAAAATTTGATCTTCCAATCAGTAAAGAAGATGCAGGTACATTATGTACATGTACCAACTCCCCATAATATAATCATTATGTACAGCAAACATGTACTAAAAAAATAAAACTTTGAGAAAAGATACATCTTTAATAT